TCGATTATGAATTCTATTTTTGTGTTTTGGTATTATGCATGTATACTATGATTTTGGATATTTTCCAAATTAATAAAGTTTGATATTTAGCATGTTACATATTGTACAATAAAGTTGTTGAATGATGACACTAAAGTAAAGCAGGATCAGTTAAAAATCGACATATACAGACCAACTTCGTGTAATTTTTATGCTACATATTTCAAGATGGATCTATGTTATTTAGTTATGTCACTATTCGTGATCATTGATGAGTTTAGTTATGGTTTCTATAACGAAAATCACTTTGGTTCTGAATAGTAGCATGATTAATGGATAAGATAATTTGGATATGCATGAACTATTTAATGGTAAATTTTGAGCTCATAAAGTCTAACACGGATGTAAAGTTACATATGTGATCAGTGGGAGATTGTTAGAATTTTGGGTCACAAATATAGCATTTAAGGTGTTAGTGTCATTATTTTAATTAGTCAAGACTTAAAAAGGTATAATTAATATAATATTAAGTTTGTGGCTAAAAGTATAAATGTCATGAAAGTTCAAGTTATTGTGTAGATACCGTAAGTTAATATATAATTTGATGAGGGGCCAAATTAGAATATTGAATACTAAGAAATAACCCTTAGGTTATTTATAGGGGTTATGGTCCCCATTTGTAGAAAATGTGAAAACGATTTATCCGATTTCTCTCTTAATCCCTATCAGAGGAGATTCAAGGAGCCATAAGGTATTCTACAAATTAGAGATCACATACCCTCAAACCTTCGATGATTCTCAATGAAAAATTCAGATATACTTCTACTTTCATTCTCATAATTATATTCAAATATAAATTTAAGGGTTTTATTTAGAGTTCTTTTCTTGATTTTTATATTCATAAAAATTATATAATTTATGAACTGATCTATAGTTATATCTACCATTTTTTTTTGTTTTTACTTGACTTTTTGAAAATATTTTTTTTAAAATTGTAAAAGTTTGGAGATGTAAATAATAAGAGAGATATTATTGATATTTTAAAATTATGTAGAAGTGTCAAATATAATTTTAGGGGTATCAAGTATAATTCTCTATGAATTAGATAGTATATTAAAAAAACCAAATCTCTTATATCGATAACTCATACAATCTTCTATTTATATCGATACATCAAATCTAAAAATGAGTTGGAAAAATCCAAATTTCACATTAATTAAAAATAAAGTCTAATAAAAATTTATATACAATATCGCCTTTCACCTCACATATTTATTCTATAGTGATGATCTATAACACTAATTTTAACAAATAATTCAATATAAAAATATGACATAACATAAAATAATAATGAATAGATAATCAATAAAACTCCAAATACTTGAGTGTTCATCTTATTTTTATAATAAATAATAATAATATCTTTATTATATAACATGGAACAACAAATGCAGCTACTTTGTTGAAACCCTAATTCTCTCTTTTTTTCCCTCTATATATTATTAATGAAATATAATTAATGATTAATAATTTTGCTTTATTTTAAATATGCAGAGCAATATATACAGCTCCTATGATTTTGATTTATTTCTTCTTTTATATATAAAATTCTTAATGATAATACTCCATTAATTACTCTCCACATATCCATTATTTTTGCATATCTTATTATATAAATAGTTGGAAAATGTCAACATTTTTTGGTAACTGATAAATAATAGAAAATTAGTTGAGAATACACATTAATTAGATTGAACATCAAACGTTACTACAAAATTGTGATTATATAGGCTTCCATGCCTATTTTTGTATATGCGTTAATTAGATATATGTTTTCCTATAATTTTTTGATTTGTTCAATAAAAATATAAAATTTATCATAAAAAAATGATATAGATTAATTAATGTATCAAACTTTTTTTATTTGTTCAACAAAAATATAAAGTCTCATAAAAAAATGATATAGATTAATTATTGTATCATTCGTAATTGACACTGAAATTAATATTCATAGACAAAATCTATTTCAAATTATTCGCAGCCGACATTTACATTAATATGTAATTTTCAAAATGAATTAAATTTTTTGGAAATCTTAAAAATTGCAAATCGATTACGCCATTTTACTACGTGAATGAACTCATTTAATGTAAATGTCCAATCCACATAATATTCATTATTCTTCATATCCTATTATAAATAAGTGGGCATTGTCAAACTGCTAATGCATTACGAATTTTGAAAGAAAAATTAAAGCTAAAGTTGCTATATTGAGTTGAGTTCAAGGATGTCTAGGAAAGATGTTAAAAGAGTATTTTTGTTTGATGTTAAAATGCAGCTGAAACCGCTATACCATCCAAATACACTCTAGTTTCTACGATTGTTTCGGAAAATTTAATTTCCTCTTAGGACTCGTGTGATTCACTATTGGATAGTTCTTGACCGCTACAACTCTACGGACATAGGAAGTTTTTCAATTTCTCGAAGGAATGTCCTTGAAGGTAAGATTATATCAGGTAAATGTTGGTCAGACGATTTTTATTCCAAAGTTATTATTGACTCCAAACGACAAAAGAGTCAAGGTCATTCAATTAAATATGTAGGAGTATATCTTCTTCAGTCAATTTTTTCTCATGGACAATTATATGTTGCACGGTGAAACAACCGACTGAAAATCATCAGACAATGAAGTCGCCATCGAACGTCATTTATCCCATATGAAGGGAAAGGTAAACATCGAGAAAACCTGAGAAGGGAGAAGTCACGGTCTTGCGACCGAGAGATCGGGTAAGGGAGTCTGTTACGCGAGGGGAAGGTATTAGCACCTCACACGCCCGTAGTACTCTACAGTATCAACTCTTGTTGTTCTAATCTTATGGGTGTGTTTAATCTATGCTTATTGTTTAATGCTAAGGAAGAATGCTGCAAAAGAAGAAAATAATGTAGGGAATATAAAGTTGTGCTCGCTTGGGCCCTACCCTAATGCCTACGTATCCTTTTTGAGGAATCATAGTTACCGTAGTTCGGCTCACACGTTTTGTTTGTTTTTGTTTTTTATGAACAATGTTAATTTCTCCTTCTACCGCAGCTCAACCTTTGGAGACTCACGCGTTGGTACAGAAGTAATTAACATGTCCTTACCTGAAAATGGTCTAGAGTTACGCCCTCAAGCCAAGATGCCACATTTGTTTTGTTTGTATTTTTTATCTTGAAAAAGGGTTTAAGTATGATTAGCATGTTTTATGATTTGCTAAGAAGAGGGAAGTTTTAGTTTTAAATGCAAGGATGCAAAAGAAAGAAAAAAACTAAGGGAGACTAGCCTAGCATTGCCCTTAATATTATCATACAATGGTGGCCCTACGTCAAGGATGAAAAGGAAATCTCTACCTAATGTTAGCATGCATGGTTTGTAACCTAAGGTCTAACTGGCACCCGAAAGGAACAAGCACAACCTAAGGGAGCATGGTATAGAAACTGAGTAAGCAAACAAGCTCAAAAGAGCACACATATGAAATGGTAAAGAAAAGAAGCGAAATGCTTTAGCCAAGGGGAGCGTATCACCCGAGACAAACAAGCGGGAGTGAAATGTAAAAGAAGAGAAATGCTTAACTAAGGGGAGCGAATCATCCGAAGCAAACAAGCGGGAATATGATGTAAAAAATGTGATGTCCAAAGCGACTGAACACCTAACCAAGATATAAAAGATCGAGGTAGATGACAGAAGGAAATATGAACAATCACGGAGTGTCAGCATCGGCCAATGCGAACTCCTGACAAAATGTGGGGGTTCGGTTGCTAAACCTTTTTCCACTTGACGACTCGATAATCAGAGTAGGCACAACTCTGAAGCATCATGGTGCGTCATGAGCTAATGATGACACAAACGAAATACGGGGGTTAATTGCAAACCCTTTTCGCTCGCCTCCTTTCGAGGACTTATCATCTGTAATATATGCGGACACAAATGTAAACACACGTGCAGAATACCTACTTCAAAGGGTAGGGTTTTAAACAAACACAGATAACATACAAAAAGCACACAATGCGGAATTTCCCTAAACGGGTCTTTTAAATAAACTAGAGGGATTCTTGACATAATTAGCAACAGAGATACCCTTCATACATCTCTAGTCCCACTTCTCATGGCAAGGAAAGCAGTAAAGAAATGCGATTAAGTGCAGAGAAATATACAAGTAGTAGCGGCGACTACCAAAAGCAAGCGGACCGTCGAAAGCAGACGAAAGCAATGGAGAAGCAAGGAGTACGCGTCGAGTAAGCTTCCCCAATAAACAAACAAAGTTTTAAACGACATCCAACTAAGATAAAATCAAACGCGTGTTGCGAATGCAACACGTAATCAGAAGTTCCTGCATAAAGCATCATAAAATATCACATGCATCAGGACAACATATAATATGATATAAATTTTTCAAGACAATGAGAAATAAGGCGTGTTGCATCGAAAGCGAGCATAAGCCATATGCTTCGATCACATAACAACTTGTTATGTTACATGATCGAAAGCACCAAAAATATACCTTGGACAATGAACAAACGCGTCAAAAATAACGAGGCACGACGGTATGAAAATATGAATAAAAAACTAAAAGAAAAAGTATTTTTTTATTAGTTTTTTCAAGTGCAGAAAAATTCCATCAAAAACTAAATATTAATTCCTAAAATCGATTAATAAAAACTAACAAATTTTTATTGATTTTTATATTTTTATCATATAAAAATATAGAAAAATTAAGAGAAAAACCCTAAATCTAATAAGAAGAACATGAGGATCAGGGGGTGTGAAATTGGCACAGGGAGCCCAGGGGCCCTTTTTGTGTACACCAAGTCCAAAGAAAAAAATGTAGCGGACCTATGGAGCTTTGGCCCACTCCACTTTAACATATTTTCTATGTTTGCTATGATTATTTATTATCAAAACCAAAATAAATAAATAAGCACAAATTTTAAACAAGAGAATGAAAATGGATTTAGGGTAACTGAGTTATCTTCTTCGTTCATCAATGGCGCCGCACATCATCACCTTCACAACTCCGACAATCTCAATTCTCTCAGCCACCGCCATTGTCTTTCTGATTCACTCTGCCATCCTCTTCTCCATTGCATTTGATGCTTCAACATCTTCTCCGTCTTATCTTCCCTCTCAATCAAACTCTCTTCTAATTCTTTCGTTTCAGATTTTGTCGCACTTGAATCGCTAGAGGTGACGATGTGGAATGATAATGATGATTGAAGCTATCACCGCCAATTCAGAAGCAGAGATTCAAGAGGCTCGATGCGGTTCAGAGAGAAAGGGAGTCTTCTGAGTTTCTGAATTTTGGTGAGTTTTTCCTTCCGAAACTCTTTCTTGAGTTTTCTGCGTATTCTCCTGAAATCTGCGCTTTTGGTGTTGTAAGGGAGGTTATAGATGCGATGATGGTTAAAGCTGTGTTGAGAAATCGTTATTGCGGATTGTTGATGAAGAGATAGATATTTAAGATGAAGATGCCAAGAAGATTGATTTTATGGTGATGATTCTTGCGGGAATTGAAGAAAAATGATGATTATTAAAGAAGGAAGCTGAGAAATTGAAGAATCTCAACAGAAGTTTGTTACAGATTTTTCGATGTTTCTCTGTGGTGAGTTTCTCAAATCTTTTCTCTTGATTTTTGTATTGTGAATGTGAATAATGATAAGTGTGTGTATCGGTGGGAATAATGAATTTCTGAGATGTGAATGAATCCTCCCTTCCTTTGTGTATAAAAATTCTGTTATAGGTCTCCATAAGTTTGTTACAGATTGAATCAATCCTGGCCCTTGGATAGAAAGTTGGTTAGGACTGTTAAAGATTGGTTGAAAAATATTAGCCATTTTGTTAGAATTAGTTATGACAGTTTAGATAAAAGAATTCTGTTAAGAGTTAGCTTGGAATTCTATTATGCGGTTAGTTAGGATGTTGATTATATTTATGTTTTTTTCTAATTTTATTCATGTATTGTTGTTTCTAATTTTCTGAGTTTTGAACTCACGATTCCACCCTTTCTTTTTCTCTGTATTTTCTTCTTGAACAGGAATGTGATACTTGAATGGCTTAACAAGGCATGAGAGGGGGATTTCCGTTACAATAGCTTCAAGGTCATTTCGAAATGTTTAGACTGTTTAATTTTTTTGTATTGATTCAGGGCTGAACTAGTTTCTTTTGTATTTGTTGTGAACAGTGCATGGTATGGACTTTGTTTTGATTATGAACTGTGATGTATTGGATTAGCTACAACTCTAAACTGGAATATGCAAATCCAAACAAGCGTTGCAGTCATAACTTTGAGCTAATTTGTACATGAAGAAAGGGAAAGTGAAATTTGGAGGAGCGTGAGGCGATTTGATGTGGCAGCTTAAAGATTAGCAAACATAGGCTCCAAAATATCTTGATGTAATCTTTCTTTTATGTAATTTCGAAGTGTAGTAAAATGGTTAATTTTTTTTTTAACTTATAATCCTTGAACAAAATTCCACCTTTTGGATTTCTAACGATATTTTTCTTTCTCATTTATGAAGTTTGAATTTATTTTCCTCCAACTTGTTCAATTGAATTGATCTTAGATGAACCATGATAGGAGAGTATAAGAATTTCATGTGGAATTTGGTCAAAAATTCATCAAAGATCTTTAACTTGAAATACCTTCAAGACAATACCATGTAGTGCCTCATTTTTTTGCTTAAACTCCAAAGCTATGACTTGTAACCCGAGCAACTTTAATGAACCGGTTTTGACTGAGTAATGAAAGTTAACATCCCTTAATGGTCCACTTTTCACAGTGCCTTGCACTTGAAGTAACTGTTGACTGAAGGAACTACCTTTGAACATTGATACTCAAAACCTTAACTGATGGATGATAGATTGGTAAAGCCTCGATTCGTAGCTCATACAATAAGACCGTTCTTAAATGAAAGCTTTGTATTTCATAATAAAAAACTTCTTTTTCACAAACCTTGATTGACTACGGATACCAAGATCTTTTCTCCAACTAGCACTTTAAACCCTGGCTGAATCCCTGAGATGATGATGTCGATTGATGAACAAGCTTCACCGAAAATCCTATTGAATAACACTTAATTGGAGAAATAAACCCTAATCAAATGACAATGATGAGCAAAAGAAGATGATGTTTGTAGACACTCCATGCTCTAGCTCATGGTATCTTGGATGATGTCTTGGGATAACTTGTATTGCAAGCAACAATGAGAATTTTACGTGTTGAAGGAAGCTAGAGAAAATTCATGAGAATAGCTTTAGCTGACATATATCCAAGTCTTTCTAGATTCAGTAGATAATCTTGAGTATAAAGGGCAAAACCTTAATTCCATTGCTCCATGCTCAACCATGTGAAACCCTAAATCACCATTTACCTTGATCCGATGCAAAACTTATTGATTAATGATGTGTGATGTGTTAAATACCCTAATGAAAAGGTATGTAGATGAAATGAGAAGTGCAAAAATACATAAGTCAGATGGAAGTAAAAGTGTAGGACAAATTTAAGATATTACACACGGTCAAGAGTTATTTCAAAGAAAGATTTGAAGATACTAATAATATTGAGAAGGTTTAAAGAAGTCTTTCATAATGTTCCGTAATTGATTATTTACTTATTTCTCGATAT